CCCACCGCCTACACCCTGCGAAATGCTGAAGACATCATGGGTTAAGAAATTCAGAGTCTCAGAAATGGAATATTTCTCCGAACTTCTATCAACATCTGGTTGGGATTTGCATTGAAAAGTGAAGAATACTCGAGGCTCTGGCCGGAAGCTTAGGTTTTCTTAAGCATCGCCTAGGGTGTAGCTCACCCGACACGGCTTGCACCACACAGCTTGCTCCGAACAGTTTCCGCCTCCATTGCTCACGCTACATAGTTCACAAGGCAGATCTTTTCCACGACAGGAGCGTCCCCGCGTAGCTGTCATCTCCACAATGCTATCACGCAGTGGTTGGAGTCCACGCTGGCAAACATACACACATGTGCATTTAACGCACATGCGATGTCCGCGCTCCTCCCCCACCCACCTCATCCGCCTCACTGGCCTCCCCATTTGTTGTCTTCTTGTTCTCTCTCTCTCTCTTTCTGTCCATCCTTCTCCTGCCTCCTCACCCCTCAGCCCGCCCGTCAGCTGCCCCTGGAGTTGGCGGCGCAACAGGGAGGGGAAGTGAGGGGCTTTTCAGAGGGTAAAAGTCTTAGGTCGGGCATGTTCTCATAGAGGCGGATTCTCGAAAAGGAAAACATCTGCAACACATAATAAAACAGAATCAGCAACAGACAACCATCGTCCCCTGACTATTTGTGGTCTATTTTTGAATCGTCTTCCCCCAGAGGGACATGCCCGACTTAATTCGGGAGCGGCCAAGAGGGGGGTGTCCAAGAGGGGGGGGTGCAAATCATGACCGGCGGCATGTGCGCGGCCCAGCGGGGGGGCCAGGAACGCAAAGAAACAAGAAGAGGCGCCATGAGATCGGAGGAAAAATCATGGCCCCCGCCATGATATCCCCCCCCCCTAGTCATCACCCCCCTCTTTTCCGCCCCCGATTAATGGAAGTCCCTCTCAAAGGCTTCTGAGAAGAGGCTCCTGGAACGCAGGAGGGCTTGGAAGGGAACGCCTGCTCCCCGCTTGCGCACTGCCGACGCTGGTCCGTGTGCTCTACCAGATGGGCGGGGGAGACCCAGGCATCCGACGGTGCCGTTTTTTTTCCACCTGCGGGCCCCAAGACCTCCCGACCGAACATCTTTCGCGACAGATCCATTCGGGATGGCCCCTGGGACACGAAGACGGTCCGAGGGAAGACCGCCGGGACGGATTAAGTAGAAGAAGAGAACACAGCATACACAGGAACTTCCGGAAAAAAGGGGAGGGGGAGGGGGAGGAGGAGGAGGAGGAGGAGGAGGAGGAGGAGGAGGAGGAGGAGGAGGCGGAGGAGGAGGAGGAGGGCGGAGGAAGGAGGAGGAGGAGGAGGAGGAGGAGGAGGAGCTCTGGGGCGGAGCTCCGACAGTTGCTGTTCCTGAGGTTCGTCCTCCTCCAAAGACAACGCCAGGAGCACTCTCGGGAGGCCGGGGCGCGGAAGCTGCCCCCCCCTCCGCGGGTCCGGCCAAGAACGGGTCCACGGCGAAGAGCGGCTCGACGAACACGCCCCAGCTGGCGCCCTGCACCCCTCCGGCCCCTCCGCGCGGTCGGCGGCGAGGGAGAGCCGCGAGCCACACCTCCGAGGCGGGGGGCTGTCATACTCCGCAGCCTGGGGAACCGACGTCCTGGGACCTCCTGGGGCGGCGAATGCGGATACAGTCTGTCCCCAGGGGTCCCGACGATATCCGCATCCACCGCCTGCCGAGATCCCCTAAGATCGCTCCCCCAGGCGGTGGGTAGAAATAAATCCCCGCTTCGGAACATCCAGGTGTGTCGTCGTCGTCGTCGTCATCGACGTCGTTGTCGTCGTCGTCGTCGTCGTCGTCGTCGTCGTCGTTATGCTTGCTTCCAGGACCCGCGCGGATCTCTTGGGCCAGAGGCGACAAACCAGACAGGGAGAGCACAAACAACAGATACGATAAGATCGAGGATGGACAGAACCCCCTTTAGTACAACGTGGATTAGTGGGAAACGACCTCGGGCCCAAACCTGGCGGGCGCAAGCCTGGAAAATGACGGCCGCGGTGCCCTCCCGAGAACCGAAAACGGACAATTCACGAATCGACGCGTCAGGAGGAGGAGGACGAGGAGGAGGAGGAGGAGGAGGAGGAGGAGGAGGAGGGTGGGGGTTCTGTCCCCCCCCGACCAAGCAGTACACGCGTGAGGTCAGCGCTGACTTCTCGTGCTCAACGCTGGGTCCCCCTCTCGCCCCTGCCCCCCGCGCGCCCCGCGCTCCGGCGGAAGCGTGCCGAGAGGGGGAGCCCGCGCCGACCCAAGAGACCCGCGCGGACCTCCGAAGCCTTCGCGGGCGACGAACAGCACAACGCAGTCTGCTGTCCGCGAGTGGGAGGAGGAGGAGGAGGAGGAGGAGGAGGAGGAGGAGGAGGAGGAGGAGGAGGAGGAGGAGGAGGAGGAGGAGGAGGAGGAGGGGGGATGTCTGCCCCAGGGCGGCTGGGACAATCCACACCCCCGCGCGCCACCGCAGGGGCGCAAACTTGCCAGCCGCCCTGGAATGTTGGGGGGGCGGAAAGATACGGATACGTGTTGTCCCCGGACCTCTCTTGGGGTGCGTTCTGACGAGAATTCTAGACGCTTCGCGTATCCCCACCAGCCCGTCCAGAAATGAGTCCCAGGGGAGTGGAGGTTATGAGGGAAGCGGGGGAGCATGCAGAAGAACAAAGGGCGGGGTGAGCCGCCATATACCCCAAGAGGGGGAGGATGTAGGAGGAGCCGTCGTCGTCGGAGTAGGAGGAGGAAGAGGAGGAGCAGGAGGAGGAGCAGGAGGAGGAGGAGGAATAGAAGGAGGAGGAGATGGAGGACTGCGAGGACGAGGAGGACGAGAAGGAGGAAAAGGAGAAGGAGGAGGAGGAGGAGGAGGAGGAGGAGGAGGAGGGGGAGGGGGAGGAGGGAGGAGGAAGAAAAAGAGGAGGAGGAGGAGGAGGACAATTGCGAGCTTGGTGGCCTCTTGGGCCGTCCTTGGGGCCTCTTGGCGGTCCCGGGGGCCTCTTGCGTATCTCGGGGAGCCTCTTGTGGCCGCTTGGGGGTCTCTTGGGGGCCTCTTGGAGGCCTCTTGGGGGCCTCTTGGGGCTTCTTGGGGCCCTCTTGGGGCGCTCTTGGGGCGCTCTTGGAAGCCTTCGAGGCGCTCTTGGGGCCATCTTGGAGGAGATCTATCAAAGAAGGGGGGGTCCCCAATTAGCGCTGCCCCTCTAGAGTGCCTCGAGTCGCCTCTTGGGCCCCCCCAAGAGGCCAAAATCCTTCCAAAACCTTGGTAAAATCAATGTTTTCTGTTTTCTCGCCTTTTCGCTCTTGGAGCCGTCTTGGGAGCCGTCTTGGGAGCCTCTTGGGCCTCTTGGGGGTCTCTTGGGAGCCTTTTGGAGGCCTCTTGGGCGCCTCTTGGGGCCTCTTGGGGCGCTCTCGGGGCGCTCTTGGGGCGCTCTTGGGAGCCTTCGGGGCGCTCTTGGGGCCATCTTGCAGGAGATCGATCAGAGAAGAGGGGGTCCCCAATTAGCGTTGCCCCTCTAGAGTGCCTCGAGTCGCCTCTTGGGCCCCCCAAGAGGCCAAAATCCTTCCAAAACCTAGGTAAAATCAATGTTTTATGTTTTCTCGCCTGTTCGCTCTTGGAGCTGTCTTGGGCCATCTTGGACGCTCTGACACCTCGCGACCGGCCCCGTCCAGGTCAGTGGGGAGGGGTAAGGGGAGGGGTAAACCCCTCCCCGAAGGGGAAGAAGGGGGTTGGCAGAGGAAACTCCCTAGACCACCTACGCCCTAAAGGGCTGGTGGGATTTCGAGGCGAATCCAGCGGTGACAACGAGGATTCCCCAGGAGGACCAGGAAAGGCCGAAAACGAAGGGGGACAACACGTATCCGTATCCTTTTCTCCCCAGAAATGGGCGCCCCTGATCTCGGAAAGCAGGTGTCCTACCGTCGCCCGCTGCAAGACCGTGCAGTTCGGCCTGCGACGGCCGTCGTGGTCGGCCGTGCGTCCACGAGCTGGCCAGGGCGGCGTACGGCCACCTGTGCCATGGGGGACCTGGGAGGCGCTCTCCCTGCATGCTCGGGGCGGTGCGGCTCTTTTCGGGGAGACGTAAGACCCGGGTACGGGGGACTCGGAAATCCCCGACGAGGTCGTCAAAAAAATGACGAGGCCGAGCTTGCATTTTGACGAGGCCTCCCGCTGCAGACATCCCACGGAACTCCTCCTCGTCAAAATCCGAGGCGCGGTACCCGAGTCCTGGCAAACCCGGGTCTTACGCTCCCCCGATCTTTACCAGCCTGGAGCATATCCCTATCCCCAAGCTGGGCATCGCCTCATCACCATGCCAATCTTATGGATTCCCTTAGTTTTTCGGGGCGCATCCCTAAGATCGTCATCACCTTCTGGCGTGTCAATCTTAGGGATAGGGATAGGGATAGGGATAGGGACAAGTTCGAGGCTGGCTGGTGAGCTCTTTGCCGAGCAACTCCCTCAAACCGACCCCCCACGAGGAGGAACTCCATGTTGGCGGGCGGCAACCTGCGATCTGCACTTCGGCACGACACGTGCATTGCCCGACGCGGGGCGCCCCACATGTTCATCTCGTTCCCGTAGCACTCTCCGCTGCTTCTGGCTAGGAGTGTCTGGGTCTGGGAGTGCGCCCGGGTGGACGTCGGCTGCGACGGCGACGGCGACGACGACGACCACGGCGGCAGCTCCGAAGAGGGACTCCTGCCCTCCCTCCCTCCCTCCTTCCCCCGCCTCCTCCCCTTCCTGCTCCTGCTCCTGCTCCTCCTCCCTGCCTTCTTTCCACCCTCCTATCATTCTCCTCCTCCACCTCCCTCCCTCCCTCGCTGAATTCTTGCCGCGCACGTTGGTGACATCAACGTGGGCGAAGGGACCGAACTGTTTCCCTATCGTCCTGCACGCCCTGGTGTGGAGGTGATAGCACGTAGTATGTGTCGACGTGTGGCCAGAGAACCCAAGCAGTTCAGCGTGTCTCCGAAAATCGAGCGTGCCAGGTTCTCACCGACAACGGAGTGGGTCATGCTTCAGAACCAGCTGAGAGAAGCGGCCTCAATTTATCATCTTGTTGTGTGCTGGGATGCGGTGCTTGCTGAGGGTCGAAGGTCAGCTGTGCGACCGCATTGACTTCATGGATCATGATCAGAGGTGGCCGCTTGAATTTCAGTGCCAAGATGTCAAATCCGCCCCAACTGTGCCGCCCAAATGTGTGTGCAAGCTTGGCGTGTTCTTGGGCGGTGGCTTCGACATTTCCGCGCGGTCAAGGCTAAATTGGTCATGCTGGCTGCTAGCATCGCCAGCGGGAAGTCTGATCAGGTGGCCGTACATATCCCCGAACAAATATAGGACCTTAATGGCTTTGCTGCTCGTGCCGCTAGGTATACGTGGCTGCTGGACACTCTCTCGCCCAAGGCGCGTGATTTCATGTGTAGCTTTTTCCCCGACAGCCTCTGCCTCAACAGCTTCGATGGCGTGGCCCAGGAGCTATTCGATGACGTGGGCGATTTGGGAAACCCTGCACCGAGTAACGTTTTCATCTCTTGGGGATCTCTTGGGGGCACATCTTTGAATTCCGTCGCCTTCCGCCGAGCTTCCGCCGGCGGAAGCGGCCTCGTTTCACTTCCGCCGACCTTCCGCCGCCCTTCCGCCGTCTTCCGCCGCAGAAGTGATGACAACTCCCTCCATCCTCGAAGAAAGGCCTTTTTTGGAACGCCCCACGTGGACAGCCGGTTGAGACGCAGCGCCTGGCAGTCCAGCGATGACTGGTGGCAGGCGTTTGCCGCCAAAGCGTTTGCGAAGGGCGCGGGGTGCGGCTCATCGCCCTTCCCGCGTGAAAGAGCTGCAGGGGTCTCTCAAAGGGGCCCTGGGACACACAAATCAATATACACAAATCCAAGCATTCCCATTTTTTTTTTTTTTTTTTTTTTTTTTTTTTGTTTTTTTTTTGTTTTTTTTTGTTTTTTGGTTATATATATATATATATATATTCTGGGTTTGCGTCTTCCCCCCCACTTCCAGTATTTTTCACCACATCCTAAATGGGGTTCTTGTTTTTCTCTGGACTCCCCGCGCAGTCCTCTCACACCCTCACCTCTTCACACCCACTCCTGTAATCTTCATCGCCATCATCGCCATCATCATGATCATCAACCTCATCACCATCAATTATCATCTTGATCATCTTGATCATCATCATCATCATCATCATCATCATCAGCATCATCATCAGCATCAGCATCATCATCATCATCATCGCTACGGGCCATCGGAGCCTTGTAACTGTCGACCCTCTGGGGATCCTGAGGCCTGAATATGGGGGTGGTATCGGGCGGGAGCCTCGTCTGTGAGTGAATCGCAAGGAAGTCTCAGGCGGAAGCCCCCTCCCTGTGGGGCCCGCAGCTCATGTTTGTAATCTGAGCGGGTCATCTTCAAACCTGAAACTGTCGTCACTTTTGGGCCCCTGAGGCTTGAATATGGGGGATGTATCAGGCGGGGGCCTCGTTTGTGAGTGAGTTGCGAGGAA